TTCCTATTCTTTCGAAGTAAATTGTTCTATTGTCTTTATAAAGTACATTAGGATATCTTTTTTTTTTTTTTGCAATAGGGTGTTTTTGCAATTTTTTTTCAGGTATTTGTTCAATTGTCTGCTTAACTGTTTAATTGTACGCAAAAATCAGAGGAATCTCAATCATAATTTACCTTGTGAAGACAAGGAACAACTAATCTTGAGAAAAGCAGCCAAAACAGTGTAAAAATGGCTAAAATAGGCTGGAAACAGCTGATCGCCGCGCTCGTGACACGCCTGCAGCCGCGTCGCGACCCTTGGCCGCCTAATCAAGTGCCCGGATGACGACTATATGTATCGACAAAGTCACATGTGGTGTTGGTCACAGATGAGTTCGTAGAATGAATAGCGTGGCTACTTTTACCAGGCGTATGTCGGGAACATCCCCCAAATACGCGCATGGTGGATTGGGCTTGCACTAATAACGGTGTGAAACGCACCTCGCAGAACATTTCCATTACAACAAGCTGCATGAAAATGAATTGCACCGATGCTTGAACTGCTCCCATACGACAACGTCTCATCAGACGCACAATGGAAATCGCTGATGGATTACGCCGAAGAAGAATACGTTCCAGTAGAAGTTCTATACCTTAAGAAGTCACAGGTAACATCAAATAGGTGCGAGTTGTTAGACAGCGTACAGATTTCGCGATAAAAATGCATCCGCGATGCCCGTCGATACCGTTACCATTACTACCGCGTTCCAACGGTATAAACAGGAACGTAGCTGTAGACGGCTATCGATCGGCGCCGACCGCCACTGCTTTAAGAGAGTATGCGAGAATAGGAGAATACCAGTCTGTGCGGTCAGCCAACGCGTAACCTACACTTCCAACGTACTCTCTCAAAGCAGTACGGCCGGCGCCGATCGATACCCATCTGTGGCTGTGTTTTCGTCTATAGCGCGGATACAATAACAGTGAGTCGACGCGAGTTACAGCGCGTCAACGCGAGGCCTGTCGCTGCCTTATCGGCGCCACTTGCCACTGCACCACGCAATCTTGTTAGTATACATGCTGTATCGGTCAAACTCCATAAATGCTCGAAACACTAACCAACAAACGTACAGGTTCTTCCAATTCCAGCAGAACAGTGAACGACGACTGGACGTTTTAGATGATTTTGCAAGAGCATTTTGTGAATCGCTATTACACAAGTGCTGTCTTTTGGTGCGCTATGATCAGGCCATGACGTACAATGAATATGGCTTAGTTTGAATCGAGACAGTCTAAATCCGATAAATGCAATTGGTTGTCTGTTTAGGATTCAACCAGGACACATCATATTTGAGCAGTATCACAGAGGGGGTTGCAAAAGCTCCCCGTTCCCTTTTCCTCTTGCTCAGCAAGCTTTTTTTCTCGAGAAACTGGGCTTGGTTTTTTTGGCTTCATAAGAGCCGTTTCATAATGGGAAGGGCCGGGAGCCTACTAAATGGCCATACTTCCTTTAATTCATTATTTGCCCTAGATTCAATTTCAGCAAGGCTATAACTCACGCATGTTGCACTTCGAGTATCGAAACTGTGTAGCCCAACTTGCATGAGATAAATTGTGTCATTGAAGTAATTATAGTTTTTCCCACAACCATCTGATCACCGACACGGGTTGGATGATAATTTGCGTACTTATCCTTACACTCTGAAAAATTTTGTAATAAAAAGGCACTTTATGAGTCGCGAATAGAGTCCGACTTAATGCCGTACTCAATAGAATCAGAACGCGAGCGAGTTGCGCCACTACATATAAACGTTCTCGTTTCCGCAACATGTTCGCTGTGAGCAGGGTACAGCATCGTTGTGTGAGACATATAGAGGGTGAGGGGCTTACTCTTCTGTGTGGAGCGGGGGGTCGTATGTGCGTTTGAGAGAAGTTTGCTGTGGTTGCTCCGGTTGTTGACCTTTCATGATTTTCCCTGTTTCATGTGTAGTATTTACCCCCCCCCCTTTCCCCCTCGACGGGAAAATTTTTCGGGTGAAAAACTGGAAAATGTGGCGAAAATGGTAGGTAGGTGTTGGGGAAGAGGGGGGGGGGGGTCGTACCGAGTCCCTCGTTTAGGTGGGGGAGGGGGTCGTACTCACACCCCTCACATTGTCAAAAGGGGGAGGGTCATACCTACACTACCATTTCACACATCACGATGCTGTACCCTGGCTGTGAAGTGTTTGAAGGCGGATTTTGCGGTTACTCATAAGGGCGGAAGAGAGATAACGACCTGCCCCTCCTCATCCCACACGACATCAGTTTCTTGGGGAGGACTGAAAAATTCTGAGGATCCAGCGAACCGATGTAGGTTGTAGTAGGCGGCGAGGGTGGACCGGGTGTGGTTGTAAAGAGAGGAGGAAGTTCGTCGAGAGGAAGGAGGTAGTATATCGCAGAATTATTTTCCCCAACGGCGGAACAAACCCTAATTGTGAATTGCAATGCATCAGTTTTCTGGAAGTTGTGGTCGTGGTCATAGAATATACCTCCAGTAGGGCCTCAGGGCACTTTTCTGTGACCCCACCAACAAGGTGGTGTTGGAGGGTGGCCGACTAGGGTGAGTCACGTGCAAGGCCCGTATATTCATGACCTCGTGAGCCGATCCACAACCTTTGCGGATAAAGTTGGGGCATCTATCAATCAACGACCCTAATCCACTCTGGGGAAGCGTTTGTGATTCACTCGTAGAGATCAAGAATGTCATAAAAAAGTGTCAGCAATAAAGGATAAACGTCCAACCCTCAAGCAGATTCGCATAGAAGAGTTAAGAGAGACGTCAGTACAGCGGCAGGCTGCTGGTGGGGGAAGGACATTCTGAGAGTAGCCAAAATATCCTTCATGGCTAGGGGACAATTGGCGTGGACAGTACCTTGATGGTTTAGGCTGTGACTGCCTCTAATGCTAGTAAACTCTGGTTATCGGCTACTGGAGTAAACCCCTGTAGCCTACGATCTTTCCAAACACGCCAGGGACTTTAGAAAGTTTAACACGAGACAGAATGGGATAGACTAACCATCAACATCGCTACATAGCATTACAATCGTTCGACACCGTTCTTGTACAACCATTTTCCAGAAGTCTTCTTTAGTTTTCTCTAATGGGGCCTGAAACGTAGAAATCACTCGAAGCCACAACCCAAGCTGATCGTATGGGCGAGAACAGCAACCACTAGACCTCGCTCATTCAAGTTTCTGCTCCTTTCTCTCTTGGAGGAAGGGATGGGAATGGGAGCGTAACTGCAGCCGTGCGCTTCTGACCTCTCAAGTGTACACAGCAAAGGTTCCGGCTCACAGTGATACCCGGGTGCTGTCTGATACTTCACTCGCGCTGTCACACGACCAGCCACATGCCACGCCTAGCCATATACAAACGCGCTGCTTGCCTTCGCCGTCTCATTTCTGGTTGTTCTCTACCGTGGGATGGGGTGTTCGCTGCAGGATTCTGATACCCACCTGGTATTCTGATACCCAGTGATGCACCTGGACGAAAGTCCCGAATAGCATCGGAACATGGCACCACTACTCTCCAGCCTCATTTCCGTGCCCCTTTAGTGGTTAAAAGAGCCTCAAATGCACAGCTACCAGCCCGTCACTTCGTACATAACAAAAGCAGGTATCGGAGGTGAGTGTACAGCTTGTTTTTTAGTACGAGTCAACTATCAATCAAGAGACTTCAACAAACCTGCGTGCATATAAACCTCCGTCCAGTCAATGATACAATGTAATTGGCATTTATATAGTCTGATGGATTATCTCGAAGAACTACTCTGGTTGCATCAAGGCATCGTATGTCGATGTATCTGAATTAACAAATTGTCTGCTTATGGGGCTGTAATGGGGCCTCTTTATTATAATTTCAAGAACACAGGCATCTGTTTGGGTTTCTGATCGCATGTTGAGGGTGCAGCGCTGTTGACTGCTCAAGCCGAGCTACTACTATTAGTGTGTCTGGTTCATTGGTGCGATCCACCTTTCCGACTCCCTGAAGGCTAACTGTACATTCATTTCCGCAGATCCTTACTATTTCCAAGGCGAATGGGCCTTCTCCGTTCAAAAGTGAACGGGAACTGTGCAGGAGGGTAGTGGTACCCAGATAGGGCATCTGCCACATGGCAACGCGGGAGGAGTCCGGGGAGGGCATCTCTCACTTCTAATCGTTCTCAACTTTCAGCTGCGTGTTCGCAGGAGGATATTGCCATCGACGCGCCGCTTCCAGGATCCGCGCGGACTCAGAAATGGCACCAGCATCACTACCCTTCGATCCCACTTCTGGACCCCCCCCCTTCCAAATTACCGGAAATGTTACATTTCCATAGCTGCCAACATGTCCTTTTGCAAACGACAAAGACTGTCCTCGGAGCTGAGTGCACAGTTTGCCCTGAGCACCTTGAAGTACTGTTTTCAGCAATCCTCGTAACAGAGGCTTTTTCCTGGATGTGATAGGAATGCAGATAATTTTACCTATCCTTTATGAGGATTTGCATCACTGGCTATTGTTGTGGCATCCGGTGCTTTATATCGACGATTTGCCTTGAACTTTCGTAACTGATAGCTCAACCCCTACAGAAGATTAACGTTTTATCTCACACTCGTTTGATGAATGACTTAAGTGCTCCCGATTCCCCTTCAGAAATGCTTCACATACCTTCTTTAACGTACGTTCCATCCATGCGAGCCGAGGTTCCTGACACCTTTGCAGGCTGTCGTAGAATTCTCTGGTGCTAGGATCGTCATCTTCCAGGTCGGCTGTAATGCTATACATATATCCGTTTTCGCTGCAGACGCTGGGCGTGTCAACAGGATTTGGCGGCGCCAGGCCGTTTTCTACTCGCTTGCATGCTTCAAAATTGGTAAACGAGCTGACGCTGCGCCTAAACCAAACCCCTGGCACGCCTCAATGATTTTAGCGTAGAGTATCAAATATTGGTAGAGTAACAATCAAAAGGGGCGAGGTTCATCCCAGCACCCAGATGAAGATTTGAAAAGCTTCGCATCATCATCCCGATTTTTCGGAGGTAGAAAAGAATAGGTACGAGTCAGCTGATTAAAAGTTCGCTTATTCAGCCAACGTGCTGGAAGCAAGGTACAGCATTATAGACCAGCGGGTCGTATCTGGTCGCTGGGAGGGGGTCGTACCAAAGGAGGGAATTTGTGAGGGGCCGTACTGACACCGCCATTTCACCCATCACGATGTTTATCCTGGGAGTGAGAAATCGCGAAACGTTCGTCCATTGTTTATCATCACACCATTGTATACTCGAAATCCCTGAGATCGGGTAGGCGGAGCATTCGAACACTGTAAGGAACTGGTTACTAGTGGAATATTCCAGTCTGGACAACTGTCATCTTGTTCTGTGTTGGACAGAGACACGACAACGATTGTGTCGAGATGAAAATATCGCATCAGAAGCGTAGACGCCTTAAGGGTAAGTTGAAACATGCGGCCACGCCTACCCGATCTCAGGGATCTCGAGTGTAGGTGGTGTCACTTGCGCGGCAGTCGCACCAACACGTGCATCGACCTGGATCTAAGTCGAGACATTGCCTTACACGTTCCAGAACAATTTCAACGAGTATTTGCTTTTGTTAAAAGGCAACAAATGACGTTTACCGCAATCCCAGGCTCCTTCTGGAATAAGTGGGGTGCTCACAGCTCGCGGCCTTATTTGAACAGCCGTCGCCTGAAAGCAGAAACGCAATAGAATTCTAGAATGGTAGAGCTACTTTTGTGCTTTCCTCTACTTTCTCATATTCAGTGTTTTGCGTTTTTCACGGGCGCAGAGACTGAGTCTCATGTGTACCATCAAAAAATTGAATTAAAATATTAAGTGCTACCTTCTTCCCCTGTTCCACAGGTTTAGGTTGCTTACGCACGTCTTGTGGCACTTTTGCTTTAGGCTTTGCCTTTTTAGCCTGTGCTTTAGTTTTTGGTGATAATTCAGGAGTCGCTCGAGCTTTTTTTGGTGGAACAGACGGTGGCCGCTTCGGTTTCACTCTGCAACGACATCGTTACTTGAGTTCTTGTCCTACAGCAATGTTAATTAGATTTATCCGCGACTTACTTCAGTCCTATAGCAGTGATTTCGAGTTCATGAACCTCCACTGCCTGGAATAGGTCACTGCTGCTTAACACGTTCGGGACCGCGTGACACACATGGTGTGTCATACATTTTTCCCTCAGCGCTGTTTCATATGGACTATTTGGCATCATTTCCATGTTCCCCAAGCTATCAGAATACGCTCTCACAAGACAGGCTCAGAAAACACATACATCGTAGGAAAGTGGTAGAAACAGATGAAATTGCTGATTATCGGTTTGAAAAGTGACGAAATGATTCAGAGGTCCTGGCACAACGGCTGTCCGGAATGTGTGAAAGGCAGTCAGCACGATGATTGTAGGCGGGCGGTTGCTAACGTCATTTGTGGAAGGGTCGCGAGAAGGTTGTTTGGCCACACCCCATTCAGCCTTTCCACCAATGACGATGGCGGCAACCGCCCACCACAGCTATCGTGACAACTGCCTTTAAGTTGAAAACCCCATGGTTCTATTGAAATAGACCATGGTTCTATTGAAATTACCGAAGGTTCTATTGAATTTACCGAAAATATGGAATGCTACAAGAAGGTTCCTTATAGTTTGCAACACCATCGCTCAAAAAGTCACACACAGGATGAAATTCAATAAAAATATTTTGTTTCTAACATCCCTTATCAGCTCTCATCAGCTGTTATCACTTCCTGTCATCCAGCAATAATCTTCTCGCCTCATTCGCCTTCTCGGAACCACTTCTCGGAACCAACGCTCCCTTTTAGGCTCAGTTCGGCTGTGAAACAGGGAGATTTCCTACTTTCGCTGCTCCTCAGTCGTGTTGAGCCATCAAGAAGATATTGAAGAAATCTTGTGAAGTCATGAAGTGATATCATTTGAAGCGTGTAGGGAATATTTGTCATTTTTTTATAAAGCAATCAACACGACAATGAGAAGCAGCGAAAGAAAAATATGTCCCTCCCCTCCTTGCCGATCTGCTCTCATTTCTGCTTTAACGTGGTATGAGATGCGTGAGTCGGCTTGTGGCATGATCTCTGAGGTGCGTTCATAGTTTGTGGCAGCGTACGCTAGCGTTTCTTTCCAGCGTTCGGCGACGGCAGCGACAAAGGCGGCCGCGGAAAGGATAGATATTGATCTAGCGTCTGCCAGCGTTTCACCAGCGTTTGCCGGCGGCGAGGACTAGAGAGTATAGGACAGTAGCGAACGGCTCTATCAGGCGTCGTAGACTTGCGGCGTGTGCAACCGCACCGCACTACTAGACAATACCGTACACAAAATTGGTTCTTCTGTGGTTTGGCTGT